GTGGAACCTGCAGAGTGCCCTTCCCTCTCCCCAAACATGCTGCAGTGTCTTTCTTTTGCTCATTCTCTGCTTACACCAGCCACAGCCCTGCAGTTCATATTGTCAGAGTGCTCAGAGGGAATATTTGTCCCAGTCTGCCTGCAAATCACTGTCACAGCAAGGATGATTTTGGCCCTGTGTGTGTCTGCTGGATGTTGTCTTGCCACAGGCCCTGCCTGAAAGACTCCCGTTAAAGGGCTGTGGTGAGCACTGCTTCCAGGAATGTAAACCATCCTCTCCACTTCCTCTGCTTACTGTTCCAGTGACCCCTCAGGCATATGGGCATAGACCCCAGTGCCAAATCTGTGGCTCCACACATGCCAGTGCCCAGCAGCATTCCTGCCATGCCTGGCAGCTGCCCATGCTGGCTGGGTTGGAGGTTCAGCTAGAGCAAAGAAGTGGATATGGAAGGTCCCAAGAGGAGTTCTGCTCCTTCCTAGCACAGTGCATGCCAGGGCTGTCCTCACCCTCTTGCAGGATTTCTTTGTGCTATTGACCTTCCAGTTTTAATGTAGGTCAAGATTTCACAAAGGACAAAAATGAGGATGAGGTTTCTATTTGATTTCTAGCTGGATGGGTTTGGGAAGCATAGAATATGTTACCATGGGGCCCCATGTCTCAGCTGCTTTGTCTCATTTTCCCTCCACATCTCTCTACTGGACTCCTGTCTGCTGTCCTGTTGGTCCCTCTTGCAGTTGCAGGACCTATCAAGCTGCCACTCATCACTGATAGAGCAGCAAAGCAGCTCACAGCTCATTTCACCAAGCTGCCTCAGGTTCATTACTAGAAGCTCTGTATGCTTATTCCCATCTTCCCTCCACTGCAATTTTGTGGAGATGTGGGTAAAGCTGTAATTTCTCCCGTTATGCATCACCATGGCTCCTTGCTAGATCTGGCACTGTATGTCATAAGGTGTGCTGTGCCTGTCAGGTGTGCTGTGCCAGGCAGAGGATGTAGCCCTTAGTGGGCTTGGATGGTGAGAAGAGGCATGTTTCTGGTTGGGGTGCAGCCCCTCTGTGATGACATCACAACCTTGTGTTGTCACTTGACCCAAAAGACAGCATGCTTTGGAGAAGAAGGGTGGTGTAGGGGCAGGACAGGGCAGCATCTTGAAGTGTCAGTTCTAGCCAAAGACTATATCCATGTTGCTGGGAATGAATCTCTGGAAGTGTCTAGTCCAGTGCCCCACTTGGAAGAGCTCTGTCCTCAGCAGAAGGTCAGATAAGCCATGGCTTTGTCAACAGAACCCTGACAAACACCATGGATGAGGATACCCCTTCTCTGTGGGTACCTGTCCCAGTGATGTTACCCTCCAGGAGAATAAATAATCCGACATGTCCAGCTCAAATCTTCCACCAGGATACTCCTGTCACTAGTTGATACTCATCCAAAAGGGTTGGCCCTGCAGAACAGGCACCATTGTGATCATTGATCCCATAGATTACCAGTGACATGGTGACTAAGAGTGCAGACAAACCTCCCTTCCCTCCCTGTTCAAGGGAGCTGTTTCCTTGCCTGCAGGAAGTGGAGGGTCCCAGTAGAGCTCTGGTCACCCCTGCTCATCCCATCTTACTGCAGAGCTGCTATTGTCAGTGAAAAGACAGGCTTTTCCAGCATTCCAGGGGAGCTGTCCCTTCCCAAAGGGCTGCCACACATCTGCACGTCACTGTGGTTGGGTGGGACTCCCAGACCTGGCATGGGACAAGGGATGTCATGAGGACTTGTCTCTGCTCCAGTAAGATCCTCAGCAAACCCCGCTGGAAGAAATGCTTCCTCTGAAGCTGCGCTTTGTGTTTCTCCTTCATCAGGAACCCTAAATCATTACCTTGGAAAGGAGCATTGCTTTCAAAGACCTGTCTTCCAGGAATGGCTCCCTCAGCCCTTCTGGATGAATGCCAGTGTGTTTGTACTTTGTTTAAGGAAGTAACTCAAGGTGACTATTTTCCTTCCCAATTGAATTGTTCAGCCACTAGCTACAGACAAGCTCTCAGCGATGGTCCTGAGAGACTGAGCTGAGCATCCCAGAGCTTTCCCCCCATCTCAAGTCCCTCTCTTGAAATAGGCACCAGGCAGGCAGGAACCAGGCAAGGGTGGCAGGTCTGTGGATCCATCACTGCACTAAGCCTTTCTCCATGCAAGGCTGGTGGGTGGTGCAATGGTGGGTATCAGAGTTCCAATGTCTCTGATAAGCAGAATTCCAAGTGTAAGGACAGGATAGTCGATGGTTGTGTGAGCCAACAGGAAAACCTCTTTACCTTATACAGTAGAAGAAATTAGAGAACTTGAGTAAGATGCTTGAATTCTTACTGAAACTCTGATATCTATATTTGTCTATCCACACATGTGCCTAGTCATCTGTCTGTATATCCGTTCATCATCCAACCATCCATCCACATCCAGAGCCATTCAAGTAGGCAACCATTCACCCAACACCACTCACATTCACTGTCCTTCCATGCCTCCTTTCCTCCATTCCATCTGTGCCCATCCAGCCTGTTGTCCATCTGTCTGTGGTTATACACATTCATCTATACACTGTCTTCTTCCACTTCTGCCTATCTGTCTGTGAATCTCGTCCTGTTCCAGCTACCCCTCCTCACACAGATGCTTCATCTTAGATGTTCTTCCCTCTATCTGCCTGTCAGTACACTCTCACAGCTTTTTAAAGACCCTTGAAATACATTTTTCTGGTCAGAACAGTTTCCCAAAGGTCTCCATTCTTGCTAGTGTCAGAAATGGTCCTGAGGCATCCCGCCAGCAACTTACTCACAACAAACCACTTTTTCCCTTGTCCTTAGCACCCCCTTTCCCAGCAGGGACAACATACCCAAAGTTGCTCTATTCCTGTCAGAAGCAGGCGTCCTGACAGACCATCTGCAGGATGGCTGAGACCTGCCAGGCACACCTCCAGAGACAGCTTTGCAGATGGGATCAGGACGTGGGCTTAGGCACAAGGAATGGCTGGATCACATCCATGTGGTCCCACCTATCTGGTGGGACCCAGGAGCTGATGTCTGGAGAGGGAGAAAAGAGAGGAGAAGCCTTGGAGGTGCTTCTTCCACCTGTTTCCACCATCAGCTGCTTGCAACCTGCCAAGGCTCACTGGGCAGCTCAGTTTTTTTAGGTCATCTTCTGCTATGAATTCATTTACCCACTGTTCCCCCCTCCAACGTTGACATCAACAGCATCTGATAGATATAGATTTATGTAATTTAATCACAATTTGTGGAAAAAAAATAGGACCACTTTCTACTTCTTGTTTTGCTCCCCCTTATTTTATTAGGAGAAAAAGCAAGCAGTCCTTCTCCATTTGTCCTCTTCATGTCACTCGTCATTGCTAAGGTGTCTGTCATATCTTTGCTTGGCTATCTCCTTTTATGGATGAAGGGTTTGAGTCTACTAAACCATCTTCACATGGGATCTGTTTCCAGCTTTAGCTGATCTTGTTTCTTTCCTTTTCCCTGCTTTCACTGATGCTGTGCTCATAACAGCATGGGAACAGGTTTGTTCATGGCTTTTGAGTTACAATAATTTCTATGTTGGGTTTGAGTTCTTGGTCACCCCTGAGCTGATGTTTTAAGGGAGGGAGTGTGATAACTCCAAGGTGGATTTCTGTGGAGGCTGTGGCACATTTGAAACCATGAGTGAGTAGGGGAAGGAAGGCTGCATGCATTCCACTGTGCATTAATTGACACAGGATTACTGCCTGGTGGTCTGTACCATGATGTCCTCCTGCAGCACTTTGGAACCCAGCTGTGCTTTGGCTGCCCTGACAGCTGTGCAGCACTCTATCTTCTCTCTGCCCTGATCCCTTTTACCTGTGAGTGACAAGGATGTTGGGAGCATCTGATCCAGCTCAGATCTCCATCAGACTTCAACACTGACATCTTCTACTGCTACATTTGACAGCTTGTTTTCACCTTTGATCTCGTGACTTTCACTGCTATAAATCTTTGCAAGGACTTTTCCCATGTGTCAGGGCTCCTTAGTTTCCTTGGAAGGCGCCTTGTCAAATGTGATTTTGAAGCTCAGAAGAATTTTGAGAACTGAGCCACACTTGTCTGTGCACAAAGGCTTGATGAAGCCTTGAACGAGCCTCATCCCCATTCATCCTTCTGTCCTGCTTCATCCTGTGTCATGCACATGCACTCACATGGTTTTATCCTTGCCACATGCAGCTCAGCATAGCCAAGTGTAGCAACATGGGAAATATTCAGTTGCTAAGGATCATTAATGAATGTCAGCTCTAGCTCCTGTCCAGAAACCTGAGAAAATTCAATTAGGCAGCTGGTGCCCAATGAGCTGTGCTGCCCCACTCGTGAGCTGCTACATCAAACAGCTCAGTAAGCATCATGTTATTGTGGAAAGAAAAGAAAACCCAGACAGGGAGAAAAACAGCACTGTGTGCACCAAGCAGCTGCGCCTTTCCACAGCACAGCAGTTAGATTACAATCCTCCTGCCTGGTGTACTGGATAGGGATTTGCAAGGAGAATTACCTGCTTCCCATCTGCGCTAGTAAATATATGGAGTTTGCTGGTGACATGTCCTGGGGCTATGTCATCTCTGCTGGGAGTTTCTGATCCAGGTGTTTGGTTTGTGTCCTGCAACAAGTCCCCTAGACACACGACTGGCAATATCTTTTGTGTCGGGCCGTGCTGTGGGGTGTTCAGCTGGTGAGGCATATTATGTGCAGTCCTGACATGTGTTCACCATAGCAAAGGTGAGAGGAAGCCATCCTGTGGATGGAGGTGGTCCATGTTCCTCTGCTATTTGTCAACCGGTCCACTCTAGTCTAAAATAAATAATGGCTGGAGAGAGGAGCAGAACTTGGGCTTCCCTGGCCACCGGCAGTCGACACTCCAGTCCTTCTCTTTACTTCCCAGATGGGAAGGTAAGATTCCAAGGCAACTGTGCTGAGGGGCTCTGAGCTCACCTGTTTTTCACCTTTTCCTTCCCACAGACAGCCACATCCAGTACGAGCGGGTAGGTGCAGACGTGACCATGAAGTGTGGCTCCATGGACTGGGATGCAGCCGTGACCTGGACAGCCAACGGCACCGACATCGACGAGTCTCACCTGAACGGGTCCTACCTGATCCTGAAGAATGTTGACCTGTCGCAGAGTGGCCAGTACTCCTGCTACGAGGGCTCCTCCTGGCACCTCAAATACCAGACCTACCTGAGGGTGGGAAGTGAGTACCCCAGCATGTCACATTGAGGGGGACAGTCTCTGCTCCCATACTGACTCCCCACAGCCCCCCTCCTGCCATGCCAGCCTTTCTACTTTCCTTACATAGGGTTGTCCACTGCACACTGCCATATGAGGTCCTCATGACATACTAATCCAAGCTGAAATCAGCCAGTCTGCCCCAGGAATCAAAGCCAGTAGATTAAATGATGCCTCAGGAATAATTTGAGAAGGGATGTGCTACAACAACCATCTCTGCAGGTGAAAAAGCTATTAGAGAGGATTGCAACCATCAAGGAGAAACCCTGGCTGGGATTACTGCAGTGTGGTTGTTTCAGAGGAGCAGCCAAAAGGTGTTGCAGGATTCTGGATGCACAGGTGTGCTGGAGGACAGCTGCACATTCCCCAGCATTTTGTGTTTTCCCCAGCATTTTGTGTTATCTCCAGCACGGGATGCGCAGATTCCCAGGCCTCAGCGGGGAAGATAAGAGTTGTGCTGTATTTCACATGATGCTGAGAGCTGATAGCAGCTGTGTGTTTTGAGGGCTGCTGTGTTTGTACAGCTGATAGCAACTGTGTGTTTTGCAGCACGGCGTGCGCAACTGGCAGCCGTGGGTGTCTGGGAGCACAAGCTGGCATATTCGGCTGTGGGACAGTAATTGTGATGCACCAGCTGGGAACCCTGCCATACAGGGATGTGTCATGTAGGTGGCTGTATGTTCCCAGGTTTGGAAGACACAGAAGAGTCTTTCTCTACTCCTTATCTCACCTTCTGCACCTGGCATCAGAGCCAAGGTGGTGTTTCCATCCTAGGCCATGCTCCAGGGACAGAGGGTCACAGGAGGGTCTGTGTAAGCCCTGAAAATAAAGCACGAGGGGTTCGCTGCACCTAGAGATTCGAGTTTTAGAGATGCTTTACAGTGTCCAACTTATTTGAGGTCGTGTGGGATGGAGCCTGGTGTCTGGGCCAAGGAGGAGGGATGCTGGAAGGAGCTGGAAGGCGATGCGAGAAGCAGAAAAGGGGAAGCAGTCAGAACAGGGCAGGGCTTATTTACATCAGCAAGCAGGTGTGGGGGTTGGGAGCATGGTGGATGAAAAGGCCAGTGCCACTGCCTAACAAATGAGTCAGGGGTTTTTAACTGCTTTGTGGTCAGGAAGTGTTCACAGCTAGTTCAGAGCCAGAAAGGGCAGGAGCTGGGTCCAGTGCAGGCAGCAACACAAGGAGGTTGTGTAATTCCTCTGCTTGGGCATGTGCTCTCCAGATCCCATCTAGGGAGAGGTCCTAGGCTGTGCCAGTGCACAGAGGGCTGCAGCCCAGACCTGCAGGAAACAAGGGGAGTGGGGAGACTTCCACAGCCTCCAGCCACCGCCTCTGCAGCTGTGGCATCGCTGTGATTTTGCAATGGCTCTTCCATCTGCTAAGCACCTCGCTAATAGTAATCCCTGTCAATCCCCTCAGGGACCCGTGGGAATTGCTTAGCGTTAGAGCCCAAATCCTGCTGTTCCCTATTACTTGTGTTCCCATTTGCTGAAGAGCCACAGCCCCCTGAGCACTGGGCAGCCGAGAAGCCCAGTTGGACACTGCTGGGGCCACCAGCCCTCCGGAAAGAGTGTGGCAAATAAATAAACAAGTGTCTGGCATTGTTAGCACAATTAGCTATGCAAGGAACTAATCAGGCAAGATGCTTTTAGTGGTAATTAATTTAACTGTCTGGATTTTAATTTAACGTTCTCTGTGAGGTTTCTCTTACCAGCTCTGCACCCCTAGCCCCTGCCTCCTGCACACCATCCTAAATGTCCTGGCTCTGCTGGAAAAGATTGATTCCCTGGAAGTGTGAGGATTTATGCAAAGGAGTGCATCTGGGAGCATACCGGCAGGGAATAGAGATGGGCTTGGGCATGTAGATGGGGATGGGTGACTTGTGGGAGGTTTGTAGCATGGCCCTATGGTAGCATTGCTGCTGCAGCTGAGTGCATTGGGAGCCCCAGACCTGGGATTTGAGGGATCTTGGACTCATTTATTTTCAGTGGCATGGGAAATTAAATGAAAACAGGCCTGTGCCTGCATTTTTCTCTTTTGCTGGGGCAACAAGAAAGATGATTGCAGCGAGAGTGAGGGGCTGGGGCTGCATGTGGAGAAGTGCTGGGGATCTCATTAAATAAATTATAGTACCTGGAATGTGCTCCCCAGGTGAAGCAGGGGTTCTCCTGAGTATACAACACCACAGGAAGGATGTGCAGAGGGAGCAGAGAAGGGTTGAAGACCATGAAAGGGTGTCAATTAGCAAAGCAAGCTCTGTCGTGGGGGTCAGCGAGCACAGGGATAAAGGGAGACCTGCCAGGAGTCAAGCTGAGCAAGACCTTGCAGAGGAAATGAAAAGGGGGGTGAGCCATATAAATAGAGAGCAAACGAGGAGAAAAGAGCGGAGTTGGTTCTGCAGACAGGTTTCAGGGGAGATTAAAAGTAAGCTCAGCAGAGCCCAATACTAAATGAACCCCACCAGGTCTGAGCAGTGATGCTGAGAGCAAGGGCAGCACAGGCTAAGGGAGAGGAGGGAGTGTAAAACCTGGAGGTTATCCTCTGTTGTGGAGGCACCTTCAAAGACCACAATGCACTGAAGGCCTGGGGAGCACCTCATCCCCATGTGAGGACATCTGTTCATTAGCAAGGCTCATTAGCAGCTGAGAGGCCAGTGGTGGTACCCAGTGCAACATGTCTCTTGTGCCTGAGCGAAGGAAAAGTCCTCATCAGACAGCCTGACCCCGCAGCACAGTGGGGGCCACATGGTGCACTTGGAAGAGGGAGCAATTAAAGACTTGGACACAAATGGAAAATAGGAAAAAAATACAAGGGGGGCTTGCCAGGGATATATCATAGCAGATTAACCTGATAGCTCTCTTTGATAAGGGAACCAGTTTTCTAAGCCCAGAAATGTGGTCAGTGTAATCTGTCTTGACTTCAGTGAAGTATTTGCTATGGTGCCACATGGGAAATTATGAGTTAAACCAGAGAAAATGTGGATTAGTATGAGAATTGGAACACAGCTTAGGAAATGGCTACAGGAGATCAGATTGTGCTGAAAGGGGGAGCTCCTGGAAGGGATGGGGAAACTTTGGCACCATGTTTGGACCGCACTTGGGCCACTCTCTCTGGTGTTATCTGTAATGGCTCTGGCCCACAAGGACCAGGAGGCTTTGGTTGGCTATGCCAGTGGCTAAGCGGGGAGAAGAGGATATCTGGGATGGAGATTTCATGCTGAAGGGATCAGCATGCTACATAACAATGCAGGCACAAATGTGTGGAGGTGATTTATCAATGTGCTTCAGCAGTGGGGTGGGAAGGCACAGGTAGCTCATCTGGTCCCTGAAATGGGTTTGACACCCAAGTGCACATCATGGGAGCCCAGCAGCACCCTGCAGAGGCTGGGGGTGGCTGGGCTGTCTCACTCACTGCAGACATGGAAGCACTGGTGCGCATGTAGTGGGACAGTGTGCATTCAGGGATGGGGAGAAGGGATCCCCAGGTTTGTCCATTGCTAAAGGTCCCAGATCAACTACCTACAAGGCATGCATCCTCCTCAGCACAAACTGGCCTGGGGGAAGCTGGCACTTCTCCAGGGGAAACCTTTTCCAAGGCACTCTGAGCAGTCGCTTGTTGGTCTGCCCCTTTCTTTAGGCAGTTGAGCATGAGGTGAGCACAGGAGAACAACCAGATGTTTACCTTCAGTGATCACCTGCCCTGCAGGCTGACCACAGCAGATGCCCATGTGTGGCTAAAAGCAGGAGATGGGTCCAGGTCTTTTTACACACCAGGCATCCCTGGCCTGAGCCCAGGCTGAGCACCAGGAGCAGGGCAGGAGGGAGCACAAGGCTCTGGGTAACAGGATTGTGGTGCCGGGCTCCTGGCTGCCCCCACAAGCCACAGCTCTGCATTTGGAAATGCGCAGCCGGAGGGCCTGGGGGTGGATATAACAAAGAGGTTGGGAAATAATGCACTCTTGAGGTTTGGCACACGGCGCTGTGCGTTACAGAATGTTATAAAAATACTGCTAATGGGCCAGAGAGGAGTGGAAACGCGCGTCGGAAAGGCTGCCAGAAGCCGGAGAGTGCACATGAGAGCGGGGAGGCCTTGTGTGCAAAGAAGGGAGGGTTGGAGGGAGGCAGCCAGGGCAGGAAGCCTCCTTGTGCTCCCATCCCTCCATCCCTGTCTAACCTGCTTATCTCCATCCTGACCCAGCACCTCTTCCCCTTTGCCCCTCTGTCCTGCTCTGGGGGTGCCCAAGCCCTGGTGGACATGCATCTGACCTTCATCATTTGGCGTGCTGCCAAAAAGGCTGTTGCCTGACAGGATGGAGTGCAAGCATGGGAGAGGAAATACAGCAGAATCCTTTTCAGCAGCAGGGGCACAGATCGGGATGCAGGCAATGGATTTGTCTTCCATGTTGCAGTGGTGGCCTGGGGTCTTGTAGCCTGGTGCCAGCCCCAGCGCTGTCCCATGGGCATTGCTGCCTCCCAGGCCATGGATGTGGAAAAGGGACTGGCAGAGTACAAGCAGTCCCAGGCTGGTCTGCTTCCTCCATGTCTGTCATTGCACTGGCTGGCGAGAGAAAGAGGAAAAAACATGCGGTTTGACGGAAAATGACATGGAAAAAACAACCAAATTAACAGAAAAACAAACAAAGCAAAACCAGAGAGAGGGAGGGAGAAAGCAGCAAAGCAACAGGAACCACATGTGAGCGGGGAGTCCAGGAGAGCCTGAGTGTTCTCTGGACTGATTAGCAAGCAATCAAACATCGGCCACTAATAAATAATCAGAGCCTCCCTTTTCTCTGACTTAGAATTCTGTCTTTTTCCTCCCAGCTGGGCTCCAGCTGCAACCAGAGGGTTGTACTGAAAGTTTGTGTCTATTTTTTGTTGTTATTTTTATAACTTTTTTTCTATTTCACCTATCCAAAATAAAGAAGCAAAACGAGATGGTCGCGACCTCTCAATGTCATGCATCTC